TTGAATCTAGCAGATCTTAAACAAATGTTACTGAACAATACCAGGAAAAACTTGAACCATATATTACTTACAGTATTTTTATCAATTAAGCATTTATTCCACCCTTGATCCCCTTGTGCCAATCCAGATGGGCTGCCTAATGAGAAGTTGTTCAGAAGCGTATTCACTATGTCCTGGAGTTCAGATATCCAGCAAAAGTCATTGCACAGCAGTGCCTGGTTTGGTCCACACAGCCATCTAGCAAATCTAGCACGTGGAGTAAGACTTCAACTTATCAGTTTTTATTTTCCTTAATCTACAAAGAATGTATAACAGGTAGTGGATCAAAGCAAGCTGTGTCAATAAGCAGAATGGTGCTCTTCCTAATGAGGTGACATACTCAGAGGAGAAGGATTGCATACCCCCTTGCATGATTGGAGAATGAGCTTACTTCGACTCCTAGGAACTACATTTTGTTTCCTCTCCCATGTTGGTGAGTCACATTCCAAGCTGCTGTTAAGGCAAATTAAAGAGTCAGTTGCTTGCTCCACTCATGGCAGGACTAGAGTGGGGACAGAGACCATGGCTTGGGTCCATGTTCAGATTCTGCTTCTTCCCCACATTGGCCTAGCATTCAATGCCCTTGCATGAGTATTTCTGTGGAATTACTTATTGAAAACAAGAGTGATGGGACTGGTCTGTCAGTAACACTGGAAAATAAAAAATTAGTTAGTGATTGTAAGATATCTAATTTGAGTGAGCATATTGTTGTAGTTTTGAAGTGGAAATTTGTCTTGATTTTCTCTGCTATGCACAAAATTATTTGAATAAACTTTCTGCAGTATTTGGACATTTTGGAGGATGTTCTTTTTACAACAGTTGCTTTTTCTGTTAGGTTAATGATTGATGATTATCCAGTTTCCCTTCCTCAGTCCCTTCCTTCCTTGTTTGTCCTGATTAGATGAATAGTAACAGGCAATTTTGTAAGTCAGACCTGACTTATACAACATCACATAGCAATGATGTTGACATAGCAGTAAATCAATTATCAGTTATCAGAAATATGTTTTCAGGGAATTTTTCTTGTTTGAGTTTTGTAAATCAATTTGCATGCAAGTTTCTGTGAAAATGTTCCTTAGAACAATTTCACAGTAATTAGAGACTTACAACTGTGGTGACTAAGTACAATTTCCAGAAAACAACCTGAGTTGTGGTATCCATGAGATCATACTTCTCAATAAAGCTCCACTACTAGGGAACTAACTTTCCTATAAAAATGTAAAATACAATTTCTCTGCCTTTTCTAACCATAATAGAAAGGCTTGCATAGAAAGACTTTTATCTGAGAGCTGAAAGACAAGACAGATCAAGTCAGTCAAAATACCTACAAATTTTTCAATTTGTTCTCTTCTAGATTTTTTTTAAAGTCTAAGTAATTTACATTTTGAAACAAAGTCATTGCAAACAAAGTATTCACATGTAGAAATGCCTCATTTAGAAGTACTTGGTTTCAAAACTGGTTTTGCTTTTATTAGCAAAACAATATATTAATTGTATTGTAATTCTTGGAGTGGTTTAGATAAGTCAATTTACTTTTAGGCATTTTTTGCAAAATGCTTTTTTCAATAGCTCAGGTTAACAATCGTCATCTTATAGTAAGTGTATGCCATTCTTCAAATGATAACTGCACTATAAGAGGAACTGGAATATCCTGTTCAGTGGTAGAATGAGAATTTGAACTTCAAAATACAGCACCATGGGGAACGGCTGAATTAATTTTGAGTATCCATATTTCTATCTGAAAGACATTTTACATGAAACAACTGTAAAAATATGTTTTCATCTAAAACTCAGGTGTACTATACTAGTGATGCATTATGAGCTTAATGGTTAAACTGAAAGAGCTTGCTTAGTTAACTTGCTCAGTTAATGGTGCTAGTTCAGTTCTGCTGTAACATTTGCAAGCTGATACAAAATATTCTTCCTTAACAGAAAGTAAGCTTCAGCTCCACAGCAAGTTCTCTTATATTAGCATCAAATCAGAGCTGGGCTTGGCTTCCATAATCTAAGAAGATCCATCAGTATCTTCTGCCATTTTGCAGAGGAGACACCTCAGGTCACCAGATAACTGAATCAGAATTGTGTGGCTATAAAGGGTTTTTGTTGCTCTGGGACAGACTTCTTTCCTTCGAGTCAACACAGGCAACAACCCAATTCCCAGTTCAGTGCATGAAAAAATTGGACCTAACAGAACAAAGAAAGACACCAGTACAGTGCTGGTAAAAAAAAAAAAAAAGATAAGCAAACATAAAAATTATAGCTCTTAAAGTAATTAACATTGCCTTGTTATCATAAGACAAATGAGTTATGGTAAACATTTTAAAGCTCAAGAATTAAAAGGGGTGAAAATATTCCTGAACTAGACAGCAAGTTTCTAAAACTGGCAGTCAGAAAGCTAATTTTTTACTTGGAAATGAACAAATTTAACATGTGTCTTATCACTACATTAAGTTATTTTTTACTTTAATAACCTCTCGAAAACTAACTCACAACACACTACGGTAATATGAAGAATAAATTTAGCTGTTGTTTTCCAACAAGACATTCCAGACTTTTAATATCATCCCACATTGATAATTAGTCATTTGTTAGAGACACACAGCAGTAATCACTTAATGCACTGCAATACTGGCCATTTACAGAGACCTTCACTTTTCAATGAAATCTGCTGAGAGTAGAACTGCTTGTGGGACTTGTGTTGATATAAAAGAGAAATTGAAGCACTTTTACATGGATAAATGTCTCAACATAATGGGAGACTGGGAACTTGAAGAATTTATTTTAAAAAGTAAGAATTTTTTTTTTTTCAGCTTTTATACTAAAATGTTCAGGCTCTCTACACTAACTTTTTCATGCTTTGTACTGTTACTGTGAAAGCTGGTAATTTTTTTAAAAAACAAAATCTGAGCTCCTCCTGAAATAGCATGACTTTATGAAACTGAGTTTTGCAAAGTATTACAGGAATCACAGTGAAAGAGGGGTCACATATACTTTTGCTTGGGCTTATCTCAAGCAGAGCTTGAGTCTGAACTAAAAAAAGTTACAGTGCTCATTTCAAAAACCCATTACACTTCTGATAGAGCCCTTGTCAAGACAATGCTTGAAAAGACTGTAAAACACACTTTTTCATTATTCTTCAGCATTGTTTACATAAGTGATATGAGTTGAGACAAACAGTTCTGGAAAATTGTCACTGATTGTCCCTTTTAAATGTATATTCTGGGAATGTTTGCAGATTTTTTAACATTGATTCAAACTGATATATTTTCTTTCAAATGCTGAACACATTTCCCCAATACATATGAAAAATACAGTCTACTCTTTATTCAAAGACTATCGTATTTCTTCTTACTTTGGTCATATGTTTTCCTTTATTTCGCATTTGGATCTTATAATTTTTTCTTTCTAATGTTTCTGATCTTTGTTGCTGTTTCCTTATTGGGTACTTGCTGTGGTAGATAGCAGTTATCTGATTCTATTTCAGCTTTCACTAATGCAGACTATATGTCATGGTTTCACTGCTGGCAGTGCCCAAAATTATTTAAGATATAGCAATCTCAACTATAGCTGTGCCTTGTTTACAGTACAAATATGAGATCTGGCATTTCCACAGGGCCAATTTGTTTCCTTTGGCTTTTTATAATGCATTCTGAATCAGTACAGGAAGCCAGAATCACAACTACAGGCCTAACAAAGAGAAGAGATTACGTCTTCCCTGTATGTGCTCTGATTCTCTGCAAGAATATACAGCCCCATATAAAAGTGTTCTGTCAACGGAGCTAAAAATTCCTGTATCTGCTTCAGTGGATTAATTTATTTAAACTTTATTTAAATTTTTATTTAAAGTGTTGGGCCTTGCCTACCGTAGCAAGCATAGTGTTCTACTGCGACGGCAGTGGTCCTGGCAAAGGGATGGATGTGTAGCAGACAATTGTATCTGAAACTGTCACACTCTATCTGCTATGAACCACCAAAGAGTCTGCAGAAATAGGGTTCAAAACCATGACTGAATTCCTCTGGTTACCATTCATCAGGTGACGCTCACTGATTCCTAGTGAGCTCTTAGTCTGTGTAAGAGAGAAAAGCAGTTTACCCCATGTTTGCCCAGCCACCTCCTGTCACACAGTTAACGTGTCGTCTTTTTGAGCCATGACAATCTGTTGGACTTATAAGCAGTTTATGAGCAGTCTCTTTCGTAGAGAGTAGAAAAATGCCTTACAAAATTGGTTTTGCCTGCTCAGGTGCAGGTGTACACGGGATTTCTTTAACACAAGAATGACATGGAGGTTACATGACTTATTTTTTCCAACTCTCCAGCCAACAGGGTTATCCTGTGTGGGTGCAGTGTGAAAACAGCCTTTGGATGGCAAAATTCTGTTGCTGTTTGACAGTTACAGATAGCTGTAAACACAGCCTTTATACAGGGAAACGTCAGGCATCCTCACAATCACTAGGGCCACCACCTCTGCATTTAATTAAAGCAGAATGAACACATACGTCACTGAACTAAGCTTTGCCGCCGGCTGCTCTCCATGCCCGGAGGTAGGCGGCTCCTGCGGCCCGGCGGCGGCCGGCGGGGGTCGGGGGGACGGCCCCAGCGCTGACAGACCGTGATCCCCCCGAGCAAGTGTGTGGCGCTGGCTCTCCCGCTCCTCGCTGCCTCCAATTACATCCCTGGCAGGAGACGCAGCTCCCGGCTTCGCTTTCCAGGGTTATTTTTGGCCGGGGCCGCCGCATGGTGATGGCAGCGGCCTCTCGAGCCGCGAGCACCCTCGCTGTCGGCCAGGCGCCGGCGGGGGCCCCGGCGGGGCGGGCGGGGAAGGGGCGGTGCGCACCCCGCGCCCGCCCCGGCTCCCCCGCGGCGCCGGGCTCCCGCCACGGGCCGCCGAGGGCTGAGCTGGCCCGCCCCCGCCGGGGAGACGTCTGTGGGCTCCCCTCCGCCTGCTCGGCACCCTGTGCGAGGGCTGCCGCTCCCCAGCGGAGCCACAGCCGGGCGGGCGGCGGCCGCCATGGAGCGGACCCCCATCCCGGTGCTGACCGTGCAGACAGCGCCCTACGAGGACCAGCGGCCGACGGGCGGCGGGGGGCTGCGGCGGCCCACGGCGCTCTTCGAGAGCCAGCGCAACTACCTGCCCAACTTCGTACAGAGCCTGCTCTCCTCCGTCGACCTTCGCGACCGGCAGGGCTGCACCATGGTGGTGGGCAGCGACGGCAGGTACTTCAGCAAGACGGCCATCGAGATCGTCGTTCAGATGGCCGCGGCCAACGGGGTAAGCGGCCCCCTCGCCCTCCCCTTCGCCCCCTCCCAGCAGCGGGACCCGCGCTGTGCCCGCACCAGCGGTCCTGGCAGCGGGAGGCGCGGGGCAGCCCCCGAGCACGGGGAGAACCTTCCAGTGTCGTCACCCGGACAGCGCTCAATATACAAATAAAACCAGGAGGAACTTCGCGTCCGGCTGTTTCGGCGTTCTACCCGTCAGGTGCCCGAACCAGCCCCGTGCCGGCTCCTGTGTCCCCTCTGCTGGGCTTTGGCATGGGTGGTGGCTCCGTCGGGGTTTGACGGTGGGGATGGTGGCACCCTCAGGGGACTGCCAGCCGTGCCGTGCTGTTTCACTTTATTTTAGAAGGAGGAAGGAATGGCAGTTGAAACATAGGGTTCACTCTGAAGGAGAAAATGTAGCAAGAGTTAAAAATATGTGCGTGGGAAACAAAGGTATCAGAAATGTATTTGCTGCTCAGGATATTTTAGAAATATTCAAGGAAAATGGTACTATTGAGGGAAGAGGAGTTCAGCATTTTGGCTGCATCCTAAGAAAATAATCATTCTTTTCTGTTGTGCACTTGCAAACAAATTACAAAATGCAAGAAGATAGCAGTCGCAGAAACCTCTGTGGCCACATGGGATACAGATTTCTCTTCTGCAGTTTTGAAAATAGGAAAGAACTTGAGGAGAAAACTGTTGTCTTCTCCTAGGTACATGCACATTCGTGTGTGGATATATATGTACAGACAGCTGGAAATACCAGATAATGTAGGCTTGAAGTTCCCACTTCAAAGCAGAACTGAAGCTAGTATCGCTTGTTATGATGGCTAAGTTGATCCTCTAGATTTGGCAAAAGGAGTGATATGGTTTTATAGATCTTCTTTTGGTAGGGAATTTAATTTTTTTCAAAAGCTCATTCTTTCAACTTTGAAATGAATCTCTGTATGTGTCCAAATTTTTCCTGCTGATTTGTTGTCACATACAAGCTATATAAACTACCCAGTCTGATATAAATAATGAGTATTTTAAAATTATTCCTAAAGCATGTTCTCAACACACTGATAGTATCAAGCTGATGCTTAGTGATACTGGAGATTTCAGAGAGACTGTTTATGTTACATGCTGGCTTCCCTGTGCAAAACAGCCATTCACACAGGGAGTTGGTGCAGATGCCAGGGTTTATGTGGCCCCGGGTGTGAGAAGGGCTGTCAGGGGACACTGGTTAAAGTGAGGACAGTGGCAAGGGTAGTACAGATGGGATAAAGTGCAGCAACAATTAAAGCAAGAGTCTGGCGGTAAGAACCGCCCTGCTGAGGCTGAGATCCTTACCTGTCCTTGCACATTGGCAGGAGCTACAAGAGTGGGTTACAGCTGCAGGGTGACCACAAGGACTGAGGTACTGAAAAAGAAAAGAAATTTAGGGTTTAGAACAGCAGAGGCTTCTCAACCAGGTTATGCTGACTAATTTTTTCTGTCAGCCTGCCTCCTTCCTGCTGCTTCTGTCACATTTCCCATCTTGGTCTTTCTTCCTTGAATATCTTTCTGACCTCAGGAGAGTTCCAGTTTCACGTTTCTGGCACCTTGCTATAATAATGATTCTACTTTCTTAATTTATTGCAAGTTTCTTGGAAACAGTTTCTCACTAATGTTTTCTGAAGCCAATCCCCAAACTTTTCTGCTCACAGTTCCCACAAATATTTGAATTCATTCATGATACTCTTACTAATGGCACAGTCCTCACAAATTTTGTAGGCCAGCTGGTGGGGAGCTACTGATACTGAAAAGGCTTCCAATTTCCATCTGCTAATGCTTCTTTCCTTCTCTAACATCTTCACCCTGCTCACCCTCTGTTTCTCTCAAGCACACTGTAAATGCATAAGCCTCACATTTATTTAGTGAGTACTATTTGTGTGTTTTGTTTTTTGGCTGTTAAAATACACCTGGTGGGAAAATATCTAAACCTCCTTGATGGCACTGTTTAGTGCTGTGCTGTATAAGTCAGGAGAGAGGAAGGAAAGACCCATGAGGGCAAAGATCTCTCCCTTTGGGTCATGTTATTGTCACTAGAAGGGATGTAGGCCCTATCACAGGGAAAGAAGTGAACTGATGTAGGCAGGATTAGATGAAATATGTGGAAGCCTTGAAGCTGCGTTGAAAACCTTAAGCCACCCTGAGTGCTAGGAGAGGGATAGCCACATATTGCTGAGAAACCGAACTTGAATCTCCTTCCTGGGAGACACATACTGAGTGTAACTGTTAGTTGTACCTGCTGAGTACAAAAATAAAAATGGCTTTCTATTATCAACTGTAAATGTATTGCCCTTTAGAGTTGCTAGGTTCCTCTTGTTCTAACTTGGTGACTCATCCCACATTCCCCCTGCGTTAACAGCCTAGCACAATTGGCATAGGCTCCAGTACAAGGAATGAGATGAGGTCCCCTTCCCAGTCAGCTGCCAGTGCTTGGCCTGCCTTCTTCTCATCCTCAGTCCCACTGGCTCATGCCCTCCAGCTCGGGGCTGAAGGTACATGCTCCATAGCTATAGCCTGTGTAGACTTCCACTGGTCCATGCTCTGCAGTTGCAAGGAGCACATGCGCCCACAAATCTTTCTGTTCAGAGCTGAAGGTGGCTAATCAGGGTCACCCTTAAATGGGGCACACAGCTGGGGCTGTAGCAAACACGTTTGGGTAAGGGACTGCATGTCATGGGAGGGTGGGGCGGACTGAGGAAGGCCAGACAGAGATTCTGTACCATTCTGGGTTACAACAAGCAGTTTTACAAAGTAGTGGTAGGACAGCATCTGAGGCTCTGTTGCCCTTTTCACCTGTGTCCTGCCAGTAGTAGCATCCTTCAGCCTTAATGTCTGGAAGAACTGAGGTAAAAAGCTCCAGCAGTTGCAATACAGTTCCTCAACTAATTAGATGCAAATATTTCATTAGACCCACCAGCTGTATAGGGTGTCTCATTTTTGATGCAAAGTTTAGGATAGGTTTAAATGAGAAGCTGCTATTTGTGAGTCTCAGATCAGAAGCTGATGATCATACACTGACTATGGAAAGTCATGACGACATGCTAGAGAGATTGCAGAATATTACTAGTAATGCTGTAGAAGTTTGAGATGGCAGAGAGTTGAGTTTTACAGTTGTATTCTATATAATACCGTGTTGTTTTTATTTTTCCGTGGCCTTCCATGTGAATCTTGGCCTCCTTTCCTGGCCACATGTGATTGATTTATTTGCTTCTACATTAATTGTAGTGCTCAGTCATCTTTAGAGTACTATAGTAAATGATAGGAAGACACAGCCCCATGTTGTTCAGGATGTAGTTTGCTTGCTTCATGTTCTTTCAAGTATAATTGACTGAGGCATATGAGAGATTACTTGAAAAAATAATTAAAAAAAGCTTTAAGTGACTCCATGACAATCAACGGAATTGTCTGAAAATGCACAGCTGCAAGTGGTAATATTGCATAAAAATGTTCTTGTAAAGTACTTGTTATTTTATTCTTTCAGCCGTAACCATTTGCTGAGGATCTTTGTTTCTGCTGTTGCTACTAAACGTAGAGTGACAAATTATAATGTGGCTTAGGGACAAAGTATTAGAAGAGACATTACATGCCTGTGATCTTGTAGCCATGCAAGTTTTTGAATTCCAAAGATAATCTTTCCACGCTATGAAACTGTCCAAGTTTTTCAGAACAATGTTACTGAAACCTTAATTGTGAGTCAGTGTGTGGATAATATTTGGTTACTGGTTTTGCCCAGATTGTGAGAAGTCTATAAAATCTGATATTAATTAAATTAATTAAAGAATTAACTAAATGTCCATTTAGTATTTAGTTCAGAGACAAAATCAAGAGCTTCTGAGCCAAGAGAAGATGACATTCTACATTCTTGCCACCAAAACAAAGAAAGCAGAGGAAGATGGGTAGCACATTTACACCTCTAAGATCTGCAGTGTCCTCAGGGAGTTTTGTAAAAGCACGGAAGACCTTAATGTAAGGTGAAACTTTATAGTAGTCACTGCAAATAAAATACCAGTGTATCATTCATGTAATTTGACTTCAAAATCCTTAATTTGAAATACTAAGTATTGCAGTATTTCTATAGTATAGAAATTAGTATAATAAATACTTCTAAGTAGTATAGAAATGATAGCCTTCTGAGAAATGCTGAGGGCAAATCAAATTACTCATGTTTATATAAATATTTGGCATCCAGAAAAATGGGTAAACTAGTTTGTGTCACTCCAGTTGAACAGGAAAAATGAAATATGGTAGGTGCTTGGTAATTTATGCATTCTGAATAATCTAAGTATTAACTTATAAAAATACAGTTTTGATGTGCACAAAGGCAAAAACTTAAACTCACTAGTTTAGAGGTACAGAAAATGTACTCATGATAAGCCTGTAGGCAAGTATAAGAGCATTTATACTTGAGTACCTTGGGATAGATTTAGTTTTGTGGTTTTCAAGCATTATGTAAAATGTTATCACTGTCATATTCTTTTTGCTTACCCATACACAATGCTGTTTTAAGAGCTGGCACCCATTTCCGACAGCTGTATTTGGAAGATTGAGTCATTGCTCTAGCTTTCTACATGCTTCATAGTTTAAAAAAGGGAGAGACAATATTCAAACCAAACATTTTTAGTATTTATTTTCATCATGTTTTTCTTTCCAAAATAGGTTTTTTTTTGTTTCTTAACTTTTTTTTCCTCTCTCCTTTGGATTTGTTCCAACCTGGGAGAAAAAAAGACAGTAAAACAAAACATTTTTCTAATAGTAGTAAGAACAAGTCAAATGAACCTTGAAGATTTACGTGAACTGTATTTATAATTTTGATAGCTCTCCTGTTTTCCAGCAACAATCCATAGGCTTCAAAATTAGCTGCAAAAACTGTGAAAAGAAAACCAGGTGGACAATCAATCATTGTATCCTCAGATCTTGAGGTAGAAATCTCAGTTAATAGAATGCATTTTCTGTGCATTTTTATAAAATTTGAAAGCAGATCTTTTACTTCTCGGTGAAAGAGAAATGGCTAACCATAGCCAGTGCTTTGTGAGAGCTATCAAAAAGTAACTTGTGCTTACTTTAGAAGTTGATAATTTCTTTGTAGAAATCCTATTTTTTTTTAACTAAAATAGTTCACAAAAGTAGGCTGAATAAATAATCTATTAATCCTTTGCTTTTCTGAAATTATTTGGAACTGCACTTCTGAGTAAATAAGTGCTTCACATGAGTGACCGGAAGGTCATCTGTATGTGAAGGAACAGCTCTTTATGGAAAGGAGAAAAGTAGCTCCTCGTGTACTGCTGCTTTACCACACAGAGCTATCAAATCTCCTTCAAACTTGAGAATGAAAACTGAAGTTAAACTCCCAGTCTGTTTTCAGATGGGGAGTGGAAAGAATTCAGTGTTCTGCCTCTCCCTCTGCCCCCTCTACCCACTCCTTGCCCCTTCCCAAACTGCTGCTCAGTAGTGGTGGGGGGTGGGGTTATTTTTTATAGTGATGTTATTAAAAAACATTAGCAATACACTTTTCAGCTCTATATGCAGCTGCATCAGTTCTCATCTGTGACACTAACCTCCCCTTCTCTTGGCTTTTTTGTGTCTGCCTGTTTCCCAGAAATTGGAACTCTTTTGTATTTCTTTGTAAATACATTTCTGGTTGGCTTCTGGATTATTTATGTTCAGCTGAAACTGTAGTATCTGTATAGGGGATGAAGGCAAGGTTTTGAAATTGGAACCTTGCAGTGGAACTGCACATAATACCAAACACATTGAGTCAGTGTTTAATAACACCACCTATAAGGTCTTTTTTAACTTTAAGAATGGTGGGAACTTCCCCTGCTCAGCTCTGCCCGGGGAAACACGCCCTGTTCATTTGGAATAGCCCAGGAGTTACTGATGGCTGAAGGAGGAGCAATGCTTTTTATGGAGCAGGACATCCAACGGTGCCTTGGCAATAGAGGTGTAACTGCAAGAGACTGCCAGTCCTAGTGTGTAGTGATGCTTGTGGTTGCACTGAAAGGCTGCTCTTTGAAAGGCTGTTCTCTTTCATGCTGGTTAAAGCCCCAGACCTGAAAACTGCATCGACACAGTCAGCCCTAAACTATATTGGTATCTGAGGGGGTTTGCTGATTTGTGAGGATACCTGGAAAGGTTTGATAGCAGGATCATGGCCCAGTGCTATGCTTGGGAGCTTTGCAGATCACTGTCATGACTGTGCTCTTGCTTTACAGTCAGTACACAGACCACTGGTGTTAAATGTGCCAGGATACAATGTTTTTTGTCAGTTTTTTGTCAGATGAGCATGCAACCAACGCATGTATGTATATTTCTCTGCAAAAGAATATGTTCCATACTAGGACTTTACCGTTTCTGTTCTGTACATAAGTGCCCATATGTGTGTGTTTATATATTAATTTTAAAAAATGTATTCAGAGTACTTTGGCTTTTTTTTCCACCTAGATCGGCAGATTAGTTATTGGACAGAATGGTATCTTATCCACACCTGCTGTTTCGTGTATCATCCGAAAGATCAAAGCAGCTGGTGGAATTATTCTGACAGCTAGCCACAGTCCTGGAGGACCTGGAGGAGAATTTGGAGTCAAGTTTGAAGTTGCCAATGGAGGTATGGGTTTAGCAACATACTACAACATTGCATCTTAGTATGCTGAAAATATGCTGACAAGGATAACTTAGCTGCCTTTATGTGTTTTTCACTTTCTCTGTTAAAACTGTGAAGAACATAGGCATCTCTTTTTTCTTTTTTTTCAGTAATAGGAGTGTATTTGTCTGCATGGGTCTGTACAATAAGCATTAAATCCTTACTGAAGTCCTTGTGGTAGCTGTAAGATTTCTATAAACAAGAGGTTTGCTATCCTGTTTTTACGGTATTTTATGTAGTCTCCCAGATCACTGTAACAGTTCTGTATAAAGATACTTTCATAAAGATACTTATGAGGGAGCTCTGTTCTGCTCATATTTTGTGTTGCTTGTCTTGGCATTTACTTTAAAGCATGTAATTTCAGAAATGCTGTAAGCAGTATAACTCATTGTCTTGTATGGAAGAAAGCACTTCTTATGTTTACCCAGGAAGTAACTGGTCTTACCCAGGGAGAGGGTTGTACAATTTTAACTACTGCAGTTCCACCCCTGAATAACGGAATTTGGGTATATAGCTAATGTCCTGTTTTCCAAAACTGATAAGCTAACGCACATAGGTATGTTACACATTCAGTATGTTTTATATTATATATCTGTGTACACCCATAAAACATTATGGTGGCAGGTGCTGACACCTTGTATACCTCATACATATAGAGTGTTTTCTGCCTGAAAAAACTGAACTGAAAGTGTTTTTAAAATCTTTCCTTCCCCATTTTGGAAGTGGGTGAACTTGAGAAGAGGGTGCTTCTCCCTTGTCCCTTGTTTAATTGAAAAATGTCCATGGTTAAATGAATGGGATTTTATAAACAGAATAGGCTTGTATCCCAGAGAGATTAGAGGGACTGCATAAGGGCATCCAGTGAGAAAGCCGGGGTCACAGCGCACACATACCAGAGCCAAACTGTTAGATGCATTAGCACTCTATAAATTTTAAAACACCACATATACCTAAAATCTCTATGATAAATGGGAAACAGTTGGTGGGAAAGTCTTTTTAGTGTGCTTTGCCTTTTTAAAGAAAGAGAATTCAAAAAGGCTATTAAGCTTTATATATGAAATATTCCTCAAACAAAAATCACAAGGTTCAAGTATTTATGTTAATCACTGGGGCCATAATGAAAAGCAATTAGTTTAAGTTACAGCTGAGAAAATGTGGGATGACAATTAGGTAAGGCTTTTGAAGTAAGAGAATAGCTAGACACAGCAACAAGGTCCTAGGGAAGGTTATCGTTGCTCTACATTATTTCTCAGTCTATTTTGCAGATCCAGGTCAAGCAGAAGTGGTTTATTTCTGTAGCTGTAGAAGAAAACGTAGGGTGACACTGTGGGATGTCCTTAGCTGGAAATATCAATAGACAAGACATCCATCTATCAAGGATGATCTGGAGCTAATGAAACCTGTCCTCCCCCTTTGGATGGGTTTGAATTAGATGAGTAAGAAGTAGTATTCTAAGCTGAATGAAGAGTTAAGTGACTGTTACTTATTGTATTGGTTTGGAACATCTGGTACACTGCATCTGAGATGGAACACACTAATTTACGTGGCAAAGCTGCACTGCATATAGCAGCATTGCTGAAGGAATGGGAAATTAGCACTGAAAAAATCTTCAAAGGCACTTTGGCGTAGGAGAGAGAACACATAAAAGAGACTAAAGGAAATAATTTTTAGAGTGAAAGTGTGGCTTTAGGATAAGCTATGAAGAGTCAGATAAGCCAGAAAGGACTTGCACTACATGTGGCATAATTCATCTAGTAACTTTTGCATCAAGCCTGCAACTTTTATTTGGCTCACAGTAAATCTTTAAAAGTAGGCTTTGGCAGTGAAAGTAATTCACAAGTAAGGTATGTTTTCTGTTTCTGAATGACATAATTATTTCAGGTTGAGATTGCTAATTGTTGAGCAATTAAGGTATTTTAAATTCCGACAGAGATAAATTTTATTAAGCTATTGGAGGAAAACTGTAATACAGCACCACTGTCAAACTGCTAAGGCATTTAAAAGTGATAATTTTTTCTAATGAAATAACGTAGAACACCAAACTAGCAGACCTTCAGAAGTGTGCATTTGCAGGAAGTGCTATGAAACAACAGAAACTGCTGCTGAACCACAGGCATTCCTTTAATAGCTACATTGAGATTCTATGAAGAGTAAAAAAAAGGCAGTCATTGAGCAATAAACCCAAAGAAAGATGACTGTGTGTTTTTTGCTTCCCTCATCCTCCCTGCTCCTGGGTAATGATTGATTTAAATACTCTATGTAAATCAAAATGTTGTGTGTAAAGCACTATATTTCCATGTTTCATTTTTTCAAAAAATGTTTTAAGCTTGTGTTGTATTTACTGTAGTACTTTGTGTTTATTCCATACTAACTCCAATATATTCTGAAAAATGTTTGCTATAGCACTTACTTTTAAAATAGGGAACCTTCATTTAACAGAAATGACCCACCACATCATTTTCTCTTTTAGGACCTGCTCCAGATATGGTTTCAGAAAAAATCTATCAAATCAGCAAAACTTTGGAGGAATACGCAATTTGTCCTGATCTCAGAGTTGATTTATCACGTCTGGGAAGACAAGAATTTGATCTGGAGAACAAATTCAAGCCTTTCCGAGGTAGCAATGTCTGCTTTTATGAATGCTAAATACATTGAGTCTAAATATTAGTATTGCTGCAGAATTATAATGCATAATTACAAACCCAAAACTTTAGTTCTTCAAAATGCCTTACCAAAAGTTATTAAAATAAAAGTCAGTATAGAATCATAAAATGGTTTTTATTGGAAGGTACCTTAAAGATCATCTCGTTCCGACCACCTCTGCCATGGGCCGGCACATCTTCCACAGCTTACTCAGAGCTCCATCCAGCCTGGCCTTGCACACTGCCAGGGATGGGTCATCCAGAACATCTCTGGGCAACTTATTGCAGTGCATCACTGCCCTCACAGTAAAGAATTTCTTCATCAAATGTAATCTAAATTTCTCCTCCTTTACTTTAAAACCCTTCCATCTTGTCCTACCACTATTTGCTTGTGTTGAAAGTCTTTGTATAAGCCTCCTTTAAGATGCTGGAAGGCTACTATAGAGTCTCCTCAGAGCCCTCTCTTCTCCAGGCTGACCAACCCTACCTCTCTCTCTCAGCCTGACATCATAGGAGAGGTGCTCCAGCCCTCTGATAATCCTCATGGCGTTTCGTGTTTTTTGGTTTTTTTTATTTTATTGCAAAGAACACATTTGGGTTTTTCAGGCAGACAAAGAAAATTCAGCTCCAGCACCACCCTGGAATCAAAAAATTGCCAGAGTTTTAAATTTTGTTTTTTTCAAGCTTTTTAATCTCTCCAAATTGTATGTTTCTAAATGAAAATGAGACAACCCTCCCCCACATTAGTATAAAAGTGCATACAAATAGTTGCAATTTTTCTGTATGTTTTTGTATGAAAAAAACATTTCCCAGTCTTGTCTTCCAACAATACATCAACCTGAGACAGTAGAGCTACCAGGGAACCCTGCTGAAGCAATGTAATTGGCCTATAAGTGCAAGAGTAAGTGTAGTTTACACAGATTTGAATGCAGGTTGAAAGTGCAGAAAGAATGAAAGTAATTTAAAACGTAATTTAAGGTACTATCTGATGTATTTAAAACTTCTACTTTTTCTGTTGTGTGAACTAATTCCTGTGAATAAAGCCTACAGAGGTGTTGAAGCAACTGAGTTGGGTTTGGCAAGAGCTAAAATAATTTTTTGGACTTTAATCCTATATGCACTTTGTCTTGACGTGTGTGAGCAGCTCCACTGCAGTTGCACATTTGTTCATATGTGTAAAGCTTAGAGCCTACTAAAATACTGCTAGGAGCAGGGCATAGAAGATATACAATGATATCATTTTAGTGAAAGCTCAAGACTTTCAACATGTACCATAGAACTGACTAATTTTCAAGTAGGTTTTAGAGATTGTTTTTCATTCTTGAGAGCCTTTTTTGTTTCTTCCTTCAAGCATATTGTCACAATCTATTCTAAATGTTTTACTCAGGCTCAAAAAATGTCTGTGTCCTTTTCATGTTACCTGAAAGAAGAGCATTAGGGCAAGGTTAGTGTTTCTGAGCAAAACTGGCTGATGTTCTAAGTAATAATTTAACTTGTAACTAAAATATTTTAAGATACTTATTTAACCAGATGAAAGGACATTTTTATAATATATGCTTTTTAATTTAATCAGGAAAAATAATTCATTCCAAGATGACTGAGAAGCATGGCTTTTGACAGTTGTTTAGTAACTGCTTTCATTATGATGGACTTCTTTTCATTGGTACATTTCAGTTTAATGTTTTACATCCAAAAGAACTAGTAGTGCTCTGCTTATGAATTTAAAATTCAAGTTATCAAGGCCTTACCGAAAAACAGATGTTATATCTGAGCCTCACTGTATGTGAGGCATACAATGCAAAAGTATAATGTTAGATTGCCAAGAAAATGGACACAGGTATTCCTGGTGCCAGAAGTTAGAAGAATAGGCTGTATGTCTCTCTTGATGGAATGATGCAGATGGATACTGCTGTTAGAAGAATAGAATGTCTGGTGTCAATTTGTCACAGACATCTTCATCCTCTGAGAATAAACCTATTTAGCTTGGAAAGTTTTTCAGCGGCTTAGTGAATGATATATAAAGAGTTTACTTTGATAGAATGTACTCTATTTAATGTTCTCAGTGAAATACAAACTGTCAACTTACATTATCTCTGCGTTTTTTTAGCAGGCAAAGCTGTTTATCTTTTCAGCTTAATGGTCGCCACACTGAAGGCAGCAGGAGTCTTTGACTTTGCCTCTATGGGCTTCAGAGCAAATCCACGTTATGTAGAGGTTGTGGGCTCTGACATCAGTTGAGTTACGTGACTGGTGGAACTGTGCTGGAAGAGAGATTTTCCCATGTGTGAACTGTAATCACTTTTTTCTGTGTAATTTTTCTAGTGGAAATTGTGGATTCTGTGGAAATCTACCTCAATCTCCTTCGAAGTATTTTTGACTTCAATGCGATCAGAAATTTGCTGACTGGACCCAACCAGATTAAAATAAGGATTGATGCCATGAATGGAGGTATGAACTTAAGTGGCTGTCAGGACAGAAATAATTTCCTGATAAAAAATGGTACACAGCAATGGTTTCTCAGTAACAGTACAGCATATAAAAGTCAGACTTTTATCTCATGTTAAGGGTAATAAGAAAGGATTTAAACCTTATACTACCAACAAAGGCAATCTTAACAATGGGTTAGATCCCTTACTAGGCAAAGGAGTTTATCTTACTTCATAAATAAGCAAAGCCATATGTGTCCAATTAAAGTTCTCTTTCTGCATTTGGAAGGAAGCAGGATGAGGTAATCTTGCCATGAGAGGGTGATGAAGTATGTTGCAGTATCCAGTGACCAAGGAGCCTCTACTAAGAGCAAATTCTAAATGTTATAAAACTAGATAAGTCTGAATAAATTGCACCCAGGAGCCCTTAAAGAGTTGGCTGAGACCTCTGTCTCACTGATTTCAGTGTACTGCAGACAAGTTGAAAGTGTCACAGAAAACAGCAAGGGGACCAGTATTAAAAAAAATATAATCTGTATCACTTGGGAAGACATAGATCAGCATGAGATCTATCTTAGGCTATAGTATGAAAATGTAAATAAAGATTTCTACGGATAATGAGTTGAAGGATAGGAGCATAAGTAAGAATGTTCAACATCATCTTATGGAAAGCAAATTCCATCAAACAAAACAGGTTTCATTCTTTAATGGGATTACAAAAATCAGCCAATAAAGGGAGCTGTATAGACTTAGAAAACTTATGTAAAGCATTTTAGTCTTGGCCTCTAATACGGTGTGATAGTCTTCAAAATATCATAGTGGGTTCACAGTCAGTGTGAACACCCAGTTCACAGGCCATGGCCAAGGATTATAGTCTGCATCCAATCAGTGTGAACACCCTGTTTTGCCAGGCTGTTATTAAGTGTTAAAAATTTTTACCTGCAGCCAAAGAGATGCATAGTCTGTCTTAGGGTTAGAAAAACTGATGTAAACAAAAATTTTAAAGGCCTAAGTTTGTTTAAGTTGAGTTTGTTTCTTTTTTTACAAGGTAATGACCTTTATTTACAAGCTTTATGACCTTGCATCTTGGTGCAGTAATATCTGTACTATAATATAAAGTACACATAGATTAAGTGTATACAAGACTATTTCTTTGTACAACAAAGAAAGTTGTTGGGTTTTTTTTCTGCAGAAAAATTATTGTTCGGTCTGTTATTCCCAAAAATACCAAAAAGAATCAATAGAGAGAGAAGTTGAGTCCAGGCAAATCCAGATTGAAATGTCGCTCACATATTTGTGGGTAACGGTGAATAACCATTGGAGCAATCTATCAAAGGTAGTTGGGGTTTGCCCTTCTCTTGATGGCATGTGATCAAAAGACTTTCTGGATGAGATGCATTAGCCAAAAGTGAGTCACTAGCCACAGCGTAGTGAACATTAGAGAGGACCACATATGTATGTTGAAAAGCTGTCTTCAGAAATTTGTTTTCGATTTGCGCCTCTGGAATATGTTTTTATGCTGCAGACATTGGTATTTTAACACTGGCATAAAAAAAGAGTAATTTGTCAGGAGTCTACTTTTGATAAGAAGCTGAATCATGGTATGTTATACAGAGTTAAATTTTCTTGAAAACAAGGTTCTCACTTAGTTTTACCTTTGGTCACAGTTCCAGTTAGCAAGATCTCGGAGTAAGGTAGGAGGAGGAGAGGGCATGAGAGACAGACCAGTCACTCATATTTTTTCACCTCTGAGGCACCTGTTCACAGAGTGCTCAGTTAGCGACTGATTAGTCACCAAATGCGTACAATAATTATGATATATAATAGCACAAACTGGGGTCTTAGTTGGCCATATCTTTAACAAAAAAAAAAGAAAAGAAGTATTTTGGAGTTAGTTTTGAGAAAGTTTTTATTCATTATCTGCATGGTAGCAACTAAAATATACTAAAATTCTTTGATGTCCAAATCTATTGCAATTTTCACATGAATGGGAACATTAAGGTAGGTGTATTTCCCATTTGCATTCCCCTGCTGTTTACTTTTCTTGCTATTATGTGTTAAACTGTTGTTTGCATCCCAGGATCATGGAATAGCGTTTTATTTTCATGCTAGTGAGAAAAAACCCTTTATGCATATGATAATTTCTTTACTTAATAATGGATAAATAAAAATTGCATCTTTCCCCATTCAGTGATTACTTTTTCACTTCCTGTAGAGGTGAACTATGTGTTTTATACTGAATGACAAATTAATTATTTACTAGAAGAACAATCACATGCTTCTCTGTGAAATAAGAGTTTGGGTTTTATTGTTAGGACAGATGTATAGAGTTGCTATGTAAAGCATGTTTTGTATCAGCTCTCCATAGTGCTGTGAAAAATTCCAGTGTCAAGCATACGCTTTTGTGATTGCATGGCAGATTTCTGTTTTTGCAGTTATGGGACCTTATGTGAGAAGAATCTTGTGTGATGAGCTGGGAGCTCCTGCAAATTCTGCCATAAACTGTATTCCTCTGGAGGATTTTGGTGGACAGCCTCCTGATCCGAATTTAACATATGCAACTGCCTTGCTGGAGGCTATGAAAGGTGGAGAGTATGGATTTGGAGCAGCTTTTGATGCTGATGGAGTAAGTATTTTGATCTGTCTTGAGGTTTCACTATTGTTTTGTCTGAGGTCAGATATAGGACATGTAAGTATAATTTATTTGCTTTTCAGTAATGGATTTAAGCTGAAAGTGGTGTTACTTTCAGGTACAGATGGTAGAATTTGCAACCCATCAATCAGACACATATGTTGCAATTTGCCTCTGCAGATGATTGCAAATCAAGCAGGATTTGAAGGCAGAATTATTTAGAAAGAGACAGCATATATACATAATATGGATTTGTCACAGTAAGACCTAACGACATTAAGTCCATTTTGGTTAGCATTATAAATTAAGGGATTTTTAGCTGAATAAAGCATTGAATCATAATCTCTGTTTATTTAATTTTAATGTCATATAATCAACGTTATAAACAGCAAAGTATTACAGAAACTTTTTGCCCTGACACAGTGGGAGAAGGTTGAAAAGGTTCTGAAGAACAGAATCTGTTTTCTATTGTCAGCAAACACAAAACACCCTCCTACTCACCTAGTAGTGTGTGTCATTGGCAAAAAGATTCTCCTACACAAGCGTTCCCTTGGCAGGAACAGAAGTACTGAAGTGACATGTAGGCGGCTGGAGCTAGAGACTGATCTGGAGCTTTGATTTGCAAGGCAGGAGGGAGTGATGGTGTGATAGTGAGATTGTAAACCTGCCAGGATGATGATAATGAATTATTCTACCCAAAGAGGGATGCGAGTAAGCCAAAGCCTGTTCCTTTTTTTCTCTACCTGCATTGGATAGTAAAAGAAATTACATCTCCACAATACATGGAATTATAATTTCTTTTTTTAATGTCTTTTCTTCTCCAGGACCGCTACATGATTCTTGGCCAAAATGGTTTCTTTGTGAACGCGTCAGATTCATTGGCTATAATTGCTGCCAATCTGCCTTGCATTCCTTACTTTTGTCAGATGGGTGTCCGAGGATTTGGCAGGAGCATGCCTACCAGCACAGCCCTGGACAAGTAAGATGAAACATTTATTTGTATCACCTTGGTCATTACTTTAGTTATCTCTATTTTTATTACATAGCAATTCCAACATTGTGAAGTCTTTTGATAAGAGCTTCTAATTTTCACCAGCTTTATGTGCTTTATGGTTTTAACTAGTTTGATGACATTTTGATTTTATCTAGACTAATTTTTCCCATCTTAACTTGGATGAAAAGAGTTTAATTCAGTCTGGAAAAGAAATAAATAGGTTAAATCTAATGTACAAGTCTTTGACTGGTTATTCCTTTTCCAAAAAACTTGAGTCTTTTTATTAGTAAATAATGTTTTACAGTTTATCAGGCACCCCTTCTTATGAAAGTCATGGAAGTTTAAAACAGATAAATTACTAATTCAGTACTCAACAAGTATTAAAAAAACCAAACCCCCTCTCTCATTTAAGCTGTTGAAATATATGATCTGTTAGAATACAGAATGTCCCAGAGGTGACTGCAGGCAGTCATGAAATCCATTCCCAGTTTCAAGACAGATTAAAAGTATATCTAAAGCTGTTTCTGATAAGTCTGGTCTACTCTTTAAAGATTTGCTGGATGAGCATCTTGTGTTAGCAGCTGAACTTGGAACAAGTCTCATCCAGGCCTCAATTTTCTGTAAATATCAGGATAAGATGACTAAGCTAAATATTATTGCTGTATATTTTCTGTGTGAAAAAAGCATTCACTAAATCCATTGTGTCTCAATGTAGATCTGATTGCATAGCTTTACTAAGACAAGAGTGATCTGCTGCCCCCATTAAATGTGTCTAATCAGGAAACAGTAATTTTAAAATTAAATGTTGCTTGTATGAAAGGGTTGATTGCTCTCTCTACAGTTTGCCTATTCAGGAAGTTTCAAAAAGTTACTAAATTCAGATCTTTCAACATCCTCTAATACTTGACAGAGTCTTCAGGAAAATGTTCCTTGCTTGTGGGTAGATCATCTAGTTTAAGCAAATACTGTTAGGTCAGTGTATGATGTATTTTGTTTATTCAGCTCAGAGATCCAAAAATCTCATTGTTTAAGTGACAAATATAATGTTATATTGAAATATGATATAAAGTAAATAGAGTTCATTTTGTATATGAACACCATCATATCTTAATTCCTGTTAGACTTGAAGGAACAGTGACATTTATATATTTTAGTCTGTCTTCTTGTCATGAAGTTTGATAAATATGTCAGAAAGCATGGACTGAGGTCCCCTTCAATAACACTGTGACTGTTTGAATTATGTTCTTTACAATGTTTACTTGACCTTCTGGTGCAAAGATCATCCTGTGGTGATTACTGCCTTATTTAGTTCTGTGGAGCTAAGCCTGATTATTAAATAAAACCGAGCAATTGATAATGATGGAAGGATGTAAATATTTTCCCATCTGTTTTTACAAATATTTATTGTTATGAAGTTTGCAGTCTGTGTCCAGGACACTTGAATTTTTTTTTTTATTTCATTTTGTGGTTGTCTTTGTTTTCTTGAAGCTTTAAAAGTTACATGTTGTCATGTAGTTCACTGTAGACCACCTAGTTCCAAACCCCTTGCCATGGAGAGGGACACCTAACCACTAGACCAGGTTGCTCAGAGCCCCATCGAACCTGGCCTTGAACACTTCCAGGGATGGGGCACCTACAGCTCCTCTCGACAACCTGTTCCAGTGCCTCACCATCCTCACAGTAAAGAATTTCTTCCAGATAACTGATCTAAACCTACTCTCTTTCAGTTTGATGCCAATCCCCGTCGTCCTGTCACTACATGCCCTTGTAAAAAAGTTCCTCTCCAGCTCTCTTGTAGACTCCCTTAGTTGCTGGAAGGCGACTTAGAAGTCTCTCTTGGGCCTTCTTTTCTCCAGGATGAACAGCCCCAACTCTCTCACATTGTCTTCATAGGAGAGGTGCTCCAGCCCTCTGATCATCTTTGTGGCCCTCCTCGGGAACTACTCCAACAGAGCTACATCTTTCTTGTGCTGAGAACCCCTGAGCTGGATGCTCAGTAAGGTCTTACAAGTGCAGTGTAGAGGGCTGACCTGCTGGCCACCCTTCTTGTATTGCAGCCCAGGAAACAGTTGTTTTTCTGGGCTGCAAGCACACATTGCTGAGTCATGTTGAGATTCTCATCAAGTCCTTGTCCACAGGGCTGCTCTCAATCAGTTCTCGGTCCAGCCTGTGTTTGTTCTTGGGGTTACCTTGACCTTCATGCAGGACCTTGCCCTTGGCTTTGTTGAACTTCAAAGCGTTTGCGTGGGCCCAGCTCTCAAGTTTGTCAAGGTTCCTAGGGGTGCCATCCCTTCACTCCAACATGTAGACCACACCACTGTAGTGGGTTTCTGTGGTGGGGTTTTGGTGGTGGGGGGAGGGGGGGCTAGAGGGGTGGCTTCTGTTAGAAGCTTCCCCTGTCCAGTGGAGCCAATGCCAGCTGGATCCAGGATGGACTTCCTGCCGCTGGCCAAGGCCAAGCAAATCAGGAGGAATAGTAATGCCTCTGTGATAACATATTTAAGAACAGAAGGTTGTTGTGCAGAAAGAATTCCAGCCAGGGAAGAGCGGAGTGAGAACATGGGAATAACAATGCAGACACCAAGGTCAGTGCAGAAGGAGGGGCAGGAGGTGCTCCAGGAGATGGAGTTGAGGCCCCTGCAGCCCATGGTGCAGACCATGGTGGAGCAGCTGTGTCCCTGCAGCTCATGGAGGACCATCGGGGTGCAGAGACCCACCTGCAGCCCATGGAGGAGCCCATGCTGGAGCAGGTGGATGCATGAAGGAGGCTGTGACCCTGTGGGAGGCCCCAGATGGAGCAGGGTCCTGCCAGGGACCTGCAGCCCGTGGAGAGGAGCCCACGCTGGAGCAGGTTTTTCCTGGGTAGGACTTGTGGCCCCTGTGGGGCACCCACGTTGGTACAGGTCATTCGTGAAGGACAGCACCCCATGGAGGAGTGACCCACAGGACAGCAGTTTGGGAAGAACTGCTGCCTGAGGGATGGACTCACGCTGGAGAGGTCCATCAAGGACTGTCTCCCGTGGGAGGGACCCCACAGGAGCAGGGGAAGGACTCCTCTCTCTGAGCAGCAGCATAAACAACAACTGACCATAACCCCCATCCCCTGTTCCCCTGCACCGAGAAGGGAGGAGGGAGAACAATGAAGGAAGCAGGGGTGGGGGGAAGGCTGTTTTATTTCTCACTCTTTGACTCTTATAGTGTTAGTAATAAGTTTAAGTACTATCCCCACTTTGAGTCTGTTTTGCCCATGAAAGTAACCCGTAAGTGACCTCTCCCAGCTGTTATCTCAACTTATGAATCCTTAGCTGTTTTTTTTCTCTCTCCTCTGTCCAATTGCAGAGGGAGAGTGAGAGAGTGGCTTTAGTGGGTATCTGACATCTGACCAGGGTCAACCCACTATGACCACACAGATTGGTGTCATCACAAACTTGCTGAGGGTGCAAGTCCCGCTGTTCATGTTGCCAACAAAGCTGTTAAGCAGTGCCAGTTCCAAGACCAATCCCCAAGGAATCCCATTCGCCACTTCAACATTGATCTATTGATAACTCTTTGAGTGAGAGCATCCAGCCATTTCCTTATCCTGCTGAGTGGTCCATCTCTCAAATCTGTTTCTTTCCAATTTAGAGATAAGGATGCTGTGCAGGACAGAGCTCTTCCCTTATCCACTAATATCCACTAACCCTGTCATAGAAGGCCCCCAAATTTGTCATGCACAACTTGCCCTTAGTGAAGCCATGCTGGCTATTACCAGTTGCTTCCTTATTTTCCATGTGCTTTAGCATAGTTTCCAGGAGGATCTGCTCCATGATCTTGCAAGGCACTGAGATGAGATTCACTGGCTTGTAGTTCCCCAGATTTCCCTTTTTTTACTTTTTTGAAAATGGGGGTTATGTTTCCCCTTTTCCAGTCATTGGGAAATGACTTCACCAGACTGCCATGATTTCTTAAACATGATAGATAGTGGCTTAGCAATTTCCTTCAGCAGTTCCCTCGGGACCCATGGATGCATCTCATTTGGTCCTGTGGACTTGTACACCTTCAGGTTCCTTAAGTGGACTTGAACCTGATCTTCTACAACAGGCAGTTCTTCATTCTCCAAGTCCCTCCCTTTGCGTTCTTCAACTTAGGCAGTGTGGCTGGAGCACTTGCTGGTGAAAACTGAGGCAAAAATGTCATTGAGTACCTCAGCTTTCTGCGTGTCCTGGGTAACCAGCTTTCCCATTTCTTTCTGGAGAGAGTCCACGTTTTTCCTAGTCTTCTGTTTATCACTGAAGTATATATAGTAGCTTTCCTTGTTGCCCTTGACATCTCTGTCCAGATTTAATTCTGTTAGGGCTTTAGCTTTCCTAGCCTTATCCCTGGCTACTCAGACAATTCCTCTTATTCCTCTGAGGCAACTTGTCCCTGCTTCCACGCTCTGTAGGCTTCCTTCTTGTGTTTATGTTTGTCCAGGAGTTCCTTGTTGATCCCCGCAGGCCTCCTGCTGTTTTTGCCTGACCTCTTCTTCATTGGGATGCATCGCTCTTGAGCTTGAAGGAGGTGATCCTTGAATATCAACCATATTTCTTGGGTCCTTCTTTCCTCCAGGGCTTTGTCCCATGGTACTCTACCAAGCAGATCCTTGAAGAGGCCAAAGTCTGCTCTTCTGAGGTCCAGAGTAGTAAGCTTGCTGTGCACTCTCCTCACTGGCCTCAGGATCTTGTACACCACTATTTCATGGCCTCTGCAACCCAAGCTATCCTTGAACTTCACATGCCCCATCAGCCCATCTTTGTTCGTGAGAACAAGGTCCAGCATAGCACCTCTCCTCATTGGCTCCTCTGTCACTTGGAGAAGAAAGCTTTCATCAGTGCACTCCAGGAACCTCCTGGGTTGCTTGTGCCCTGCTGTGTTGTCTCTTCATCAGGTATCAGGGTGATCAAAGCTCTCCATGAGCACCAGGGCTTGTGAACGTGAGGCTGCTCCTAACTGTAGAAGAGCCCCACTATAATGTCTCCTGTCCATGCCCTCCCTTTAATCCTGACCCATAAACTCTTGGTCAGATCCTCATCCA